CGGATGGGCACCCCTTGCCCTCTTGGCCATCTCCATCAGGACGCACCCATAGCGTTTGTTGTCCATCATTCTGACATTGCCAGCTTCTGGCAGTAGCTGTGGGAAATGCCAACACTCTTGCTGGGGCAGATCGTGTGATTCCCCGATTGTTACCTGTCTCCAGAGCCGGTGGTGTGACGGACACTCTGGGAGCGGTGAAAGTGGGCCGTGCGGGCAGCGTCAGCAAGCAGGCCCAGCCCCGGGGAGGCGAGAGCCCTCGTCTCCTTTGGTGAGAGTTGCCAGGGACAGACGGGTGTCGGGTGGGCAAGGGGGGAGGGCCCCAGAGAGAAGTGAGGTGGTGGTGGCCCCCTCTCGTGCGAGGCCACATGAAGTAGGGAGGGGACGGAACCCTTGGCAGGAAGACCTCTTGTGGTGCCGCGTCTCTACCTGCCGTGTTGCTCTGACGGCTGCAGCCTTTCAAGGTGAAATTCGGGCCAGCGTGAGAGCAGGTCAAGGACAGCACAGGTGAGGACTTTACCCTGCCTGCCAGTCTCCCCACCGCAACTCGCCATCTCGCCCTCTCTCCTTTTCTAGTGAAAGCCCAAACGTCAAGTGCAGTGAAAGCCTGGGTGGGAAACACGTTTTTGATGTCCAGGATTTTGATGTGAAGTACTTGAACCCGTCGGGGATGAGGGCCAATCCAGGCAAGGCCTGAGTGCTGACTCAGACGCGGGCGCGGCCGGAGCGCTGGCTGGGTGAGGAGCCAGGGCCTGGGGCCTGGGCGCCGTTTGAGGCGGACTGCTGCCCGGGGCGCCCTCCTGGGGGCTCTAGGGGCGCCGGGCGGGGGCTGGTGGCCCCGGCGCCTCCGCCCGAGCGCAGTCCTCCCGTGGTCACCCCGACTCAGCAGGCCTCCGCGGCTCCACTGGAGCCCCTGCCGGTCCAGGTCCCGCGTCAATGCGGGGCGGAGCCACGCCACCCCCGGAAAAGCGGCGAGTGGTCTTGGGCGTCCCCTCTCTGCCGCTGCAGCCCCGCCACGTGCAGTGTGGCCTCCCGCCCTCCCCGGCTCCGCATTCGCGGCTGTGCGCCCGCAGGCTTCGCTCGGCCGAGCTTCCACCCGGTTCTCCAAGTCCTTCCGCCGCCGTGTGCTGCAAATGTGTCTCCCGGTGTTTTCGGGAGAGACGTCTTTGCCTTTGTCTTTAGGGGGTGTTCTTTTTCTTTTTGTTCTTTGGTATTTTTCTTTTCACGTGAATGAAGAGCAGTCTTACGTGGCATTTGCTAACAGGATCTTAGCCTTTTCATTCAGGACCCACCCTGAGTGGTGAGTGACTCCAGCACCCATTCTTGCTCTCATACTGACCAGAGAAGACATTCTTCCCCTTTTTTTAGGTTTGCCCTCCACCCTTGCCCCGGGTCCCCTCACTGGCGCCCGATGGCAGGGCCGGAGACCGAGAAGAAATTCTTAACGGTAGAGCCTCCTCGTTTTCCACATTTCAGATAAGATGAGATCTCCAGCTGAGATTCTGCCTGCCTTCCTCGGAGGCCAGGGGTTATCAAGGAAGAACAAGAGACAAGACAAACTCTGAAGGCAGGAGGGCAGAGGAGGCTGCTGGTCAGAGGCAGACGCCGGGCAGTGTGGCGTGGCCTGGAGCCACAGTCCCTGTCGCAGACAGTGGCTTGTCTCGTCCCCTGTCGGCCGGGTGCAGGCCAAGGCAGAAGCCCGCGGGCGGAAGAGAAGGAAAGACCCAAGTCATCCCGGGACCCCAGGGACGTTTGCCCCTGATTTCCTTGTGTCATCAGTTACACCAGGGTGCCCTCTCTGAAGTCACCCCAGTCCTAATACCTCGGACAGAGCAGCCTGGCACATCCAAAAAGCATGGCAGGGGTTCCTGACTTCCTCAAACAGCGATGACTCTGAGTGGACGCCCGCAGAGAGGAAGCTTGTCCAAAACAGCCCTCCTTTTTTGGCTAAGAGTTTTGCTCCCTGGCCTGGTGGTCTGGCCTTTACAGGATGCCCAAGCTGGCCACTGGCCAGCTGCCCAGCCCCCAGAGAGTAGCCCCTCTATGTGGAGGCCAGGCCGTGCAGCAGGGACCCATGCTCAGCCAGCTGATCTCTCTGGCCCCTTCTCTTTCATTCTTTCGCTCCTTCCTCACCCCTGCCCCTCGTAATCTTCCCAACCAGTTTGGCCTCGTTTCCTTATTGCTTTCTCCATCTGTAGCAAATTGACAGTATCCAGAATCCCCAGTTGGCCAGCCAGCCATTGGACACAGGCTTACCGTACCTGAGTGCTCACATCAGCCTCATTCAGTCCAGCATCACGATCCCAGCCTCCAGACCCGGCAGGCTATCATTGCATCATTAGCAGCATTGATATTTCCTGCGAACACCACGTTCTCTAACTGTCCCAGCTTCTTGAATGTTTGCTGTTACGGACAGAGTTCCACAGGTTCGGAGTTGTGTTCAAATGGCAGTTGTTAAGAGTAACCCACCCTAAATTAGCATGCTGCTACCTGGGTCCTAAGAGTTTTCTTTTAATTCTGTATTAATGCAACCAGGAATTTACTTATTTAAGTTTTATTGAGGTCATAATGGTTTATAACATTGTGCAATTTCAGGTGTACATTATTACTTATCAGTTTCTGTATAGACTGCATCATGCGCACCACCAGTATTCTAATTTTTATCACCATATATATGTGCCCCTTTACCCCTTTTCCCCACCTCCCAACCCCCTTCCCCTCTAACTACTAATCTGTTCTCTTTGTCCATGTGTTTATCTTCTACATATGAGTGAATTCATGTGGAGTTTGTCTTTCTTTGTCTGGCTTATTTCTCTTAACATAATACCCTCAAGGTCCATCCATGTTGTTGTGAATAGGACGATTTTGTCTTTTTTTATGGCTGAGTAGTATTCCATGGTATATATACCACATCTTCTTTATCCATTCATCAGTTGATGGGCACTTGGGTTGGTTCCATGTCTTGACTATTGTGAATAGTGTTGCAATGAACATAGAGGGGTATAAATCTCTTTGGATTGTTGATTTCAAGTTGTTTGGATAAATACCCAGCAGTGGGACAGCTGGATCATATGATATTTCTATTTTTAATTTATTGATAAATCTCCATACTGTTTTCCATAGTGGCTGCACCAGCTTGCATTCCCACCAGCAGTGTATGAGAGTTCCCTTTTCTCCACATCCTCTCCAACATTTGTTATTTTTTGTCTTGATGATTACAGCTATTCTGACTCAGTGTAGTTTTGATTTGCATTAGCGATGATTGATTAGCGATGTTGAACATCTTTTCATGTGCCTATTGGCTATCTGTATATCTTCTTTGGAAAAATGTCTATTCATATCCTCTGCCCATTTTTTCCCGGGTTGTTTGTTTTGTTGTTGTTGAGTTGTTTGAGTTCTTTATATATTTTGGAAATTAACCCATGTCAGATAAATGATTTACAAATATTTTCTCCCAGTTGGTGGGTTGTCTTTTCATTTTGTTCATGATTTCCTTCACCTTGCAGAAGCTTTTTAGTCTGACATAGTCCCATTTGTTAATTTTTTCTTTTGTTTCCCTCGTCTTAGTAGACATGGTATTCGAAAAGATGTAATGCAGCCAGGAATTTACATTTGAGGTTAACATCATTAAGCCTTTTGGCATATTCTGGAACAGTTGAAGAAGTGTTAAGACCTGGGTTGTTTCTCCTTGATCACCCTCATCTCCTGCTGTCAGCATCAAGGCCTTCCTTAAGACACATACCAGAGATTTTAGTGGTTATCATTTGATCCACAGTTGCTGCAGGAAGTTCTTCTCCCTCAAGTTACTGCTGCAGCAACTTGGGTGCCCTCCCTCCCTCCCCCTCCAGGATTTCCCCCAACTTTCTCCTCCTTAAGATAAGATGTCAGTCCTGCCCTTTCTGCTGTTTCGTGATTCGCCTGTGGCAGGCTGCTTTTGTCTGTGCAGCAGGAGACACCACCAAAGGCTCCTCGGGAGGCAGGGAGTCCTTTTCACTGCTGAGAGCCCTTGTCAGATGCCTGAGGACCCCCGCACACACCCAGCGCCCTGGTTGGCACCTCCCTGTGTCTGCCTCAGGCTAGCACTGCTGTCCACATCCTGGAAGTTCTTCCTGTGGAGCACCCCTCCTCTCCTCAGCAGCACTGGGTCGTGGGGGACAGAGGAAAGGCCTCTCACAACCCCATTCCCAGAGCCCAACTGCCTGCTGATGGCCGTTCTGTTCCGTAGCCTTCAAGCATTAGAGTGCTTTCTCCTTCACTTCATTTTCTTTGGCTAAAACTGCCTTTCAGACAAATGAGCAGCATCATAGTCTTATAGTAACATGGTGGAAATGTTAAACCAGGAGGAGGCCATAAAATATTGAAAATAATGCAGCTAGGGAAGAACTTAGTTAGCTCTGGTTGTGACCAACGCCAAGGTCCTCCGCAGTTCTTAAGATTAAATTACTATTAAATATTTTTTAAATTGAAAAGGGTTTCTTTTTTGAAGGCAGGTTTTGCTGTCTGAATCGGCCAGTCCTGTCCTCACTCGGCTCAGATCGCCTGGTTTATAAAGCAGATTCTGTGCTGCTGTGAATCGGGGCCCTGCCCGTGGCCAGCAGAGGGGCAGGGCTGCGTGTGCTCTGGGACTAGGCATCGCTGTCACCAGGGGTTGGCAGCTCTTTCAGGGATGTAGGTTGATCCCTGTTCTTTTCTTTTTCTGCAAGTGCTCAGTGGAGTCCTCGGTACTTTAAATGCAAAATCATTTTCCCAGTGATTCTGCAGGTTTGGTGAGTGGACTCACCTCCGTTCCCTGCAGCCTGCGCAGAGGCTCCCACCACTGCCCACCAGAGCACAGCTGTGCTCTGCTATGACTGCTTTTTCTTTGACTTCTAAACTATCTAAACTACCCCACCCTCAGCATTGATGTTCCCTGCCTACGTGAGGAGCACTGACCAAGTGCTGAATGTGGAGGAGAGGAGAGGGGCACAGACACACTCAGTAATATCTCATGTTTCTCTTTGTAGAGTCCGTTTAGTAGAAAGAGGATCTCCTCATAGCCTGCCCCTGATGGAGTCAGGAAAAGTAAGTATTAAAGGAAGAATATGCATTTCTATACAAGTGTGAGTCTCGTTGTATGGGCTTTGAAATTTTAAGAAATGTATTTTATATTTTTTCCAAAAACTTTTCTTGAATGTAATGTATCAGGACTAGGTTTGGCCACGAGTACAGAAACTCAAAATATGAGTTAGTTTTTTTCTGTCTCTCACGTAAAAGAAACCATGAAACTACCAGGGGCCCTGGCACTTTCTGTCTTGTTCTGCTCTTCATGGCCTCCATTCCCAAGGGTGCCTCAGGGTCTAAAGTGGCTGCTCCAGCCCCAGCCATCATTTCCAATTCCAGCCAGCAGGAAGAGAAACTGAAAAAGAAGGAAACAAAAGGTGTAGACCTTAAGGAAGTTTCGTAAATTGCCTTACTCACACTTAAATACCATTGGCCAGAATTTAGTCACATGATCACACCTAGCTGAAAGGAAGGTTGGGAGCATCATATTGGTTCTGAATATCTATGGGCCTAGCTAAACATCAGGGTATCATTTACTATGGAAATAGACAAAGAACGGTTATCAGGGGACAACTAGTCGTTCCTGCCACAGTTGTTGTGGGGTTTTTTGGGTTTTTTTTTTAAAGATTTTATTTTTTTCCTTTTTCTCCCCAAAGCCCCCAGTACATAGTTGTGTATTCTTCGTTGTGGGTCCTTCTAGTTGTGGCATGTGGGACGCTGCCTCAGCGTGGTCTGATGAGCAGTGCCATGTCCGCGCCCAGGATTCGAACCAACGAAACACTGGGCTGCCTCCAGTGGAGCACGCAAACTTAACCACTCGGCCATGGGGCCAGCCCCATGTTGTTGTGTTTTTTTATAGAATTAAAAGCAAGAAATGTATTTAAACGTAAATGAAGACTTCTTTTTTGGCCCCAAATGTCAGATCTCTTCTCCACTAGATATAATTCTGAAAGCATCTTATGTTGCTTTTGGACGTTTTATCATCTGTGTCTACACCACTGCCAATTAGAACTCTTGGTACTAAGTTGCTTCTAATGGTAGGAAACAGAACCTACCCCCTCACCCGAACTCAGTCTGGAGGACCATCAGTCAGACAGAGAGCAGAGCTGCAGGGCACACTTCAGACGTAAGGGACAGGACAGCGTCCTGAGAATTTTTACCACAGCGCAACCATACAATGTTAGATTACCTGAACCGAGACGACTGTGTTCTGAATTTCCAGAAGCAGCTCTTGCTTCCTCCCTTATGTGGTTTCAGTGGAATTCAGAATATTTCTAAGCTGAACTTCCACTAAGAAGATGCTTAATATCGACGCGATAATAAAAGGGGTTTACCAGCGTTCCAGCCGTAGCACAGCAGACTGCCCCAGCAGTGATACGTGGCTCTTGCTTCTTGCCTCACAAGAGCAGCTTTCCACTAAACCCTGTCGCCAAGCCTGCCTTGTTTCTGAGTCACACTCATCTCTGAAAGCTTCATCCCTGACGTCCTTAATCTAGTGCCTGCTGCCAGCATCAGCCTTCCTTCGTGCTCACATGCCATGTGAGACATAGTATTAAGTATAACTGAGAAAAAGTGCATCAAAATAACTGAAAATTCCTATTTTGCAAGCATCAGGCTGTGCTCAATTATATCATTTATCACGTCTTTGTTCAAATTCTTAATTTTAAGATCACTTTCACATGGACTCTGTCATTGTAGTAATCATTACAGTGAAATGCGGTTGTTATGATGTAATTACATGATGCCACAGTCCATAAATTTGATTAAAGCTGTATTACTTTCTAAATGATTGCTGAAAGGAAAACAGGCATGTGGCATGAAGGCCAAATCAAGGGTGACTGTGATGCAGTGTCTGTCTGTCTGTCTGTCTGTCCACCGACAAGAATGTTCTCTTTTCCCACGTAGATACTTCCGGGGGTTCGGATCATAATTGCCAACCCAGAAACAAAAGGACCATTGGGAGACTCACACCTGGGTGAGGTGAGTGCCGGGCCTCCACCCAGGTGAGGTGGGTGCAGGGTGTCCACGCGGGTGAGGCGGGTAGGGGCGTCCTCTGGGACACACGGTCCCCGAGACCCAGTCTGCCTTCCTGCTGCTCCCCCGTCTTCAGCACCAGTGGACAGGACCCCGTGTCGCCGACCCGCAGTCACATTCTGTGTAAAGAAGGAAGTGCAGCTGACCAGCGGGAAGTAGCTTGCGATCAGCTTCATTGCTTAAATGAGCGTGTGGGAGTTGAGGGTTAGTTGAGGGTTACGGAGCAGAATTTCCCTAAGGAAGTGCGATGGGTTCTCGTCCAAGAATTTCCGAGAGCGCGAGCTTCACGGAGGTGGACTGGCGGCCGCCGCGGGGCCGGCGCACAGGCGCTGGGAGAGCCCGGCCCGCCCTGCGTCGAGGTCCGGTGGCCCGCGGCTTTGCGCGCTGTCTGCGACGGGCGCCCGGGCCGACGCCCGCCCTCTCCCGCGCTGCCGGCTGTGTCAGGACGGCGCCACTCCTCCTGAGGGACGCGCGGGGCTGTCGCTCGTGCCGCCGCGCCCTCGGTCACGTGGGACGGTCAGGCGGAAGCGGTGAAGCTGTGGACGGGCCTGCCTGGGCGCTCCCGCAAACGCATTCGCGGCGCGAGGCTGGGCCGCAGAGCCCGCGCCTGGGGCGGTCGGCGCGTCGGGACCCTCCCCGGCCTCCCGTGGGCCGCGTCTCGCCGAGGCGGCTGTGTGAGGGAGCAGACGCGGTGCCCCCGCCTTGCCGGGCGCGCCTTCTTCCGCGCCCTCGGACGCCTGCGCGGCTCTGCAGGGCCTGTCGGGCAGCTGCATCCGGGTGCGCAGGACGCCTCCGACGCCGAGCGCGCATGCGCCTTAGGCGACGTTAGACCGGCACAGCTCCGCCCAGGCCTCTGCGCACGCGCCCCGCGCTCGGGAAGCCCCGCCTCCTCCGGGTGCTGTGGCTGTGGACACGCAGCGGGCACGCAGGCGGGCTGTGAGGCGTCCCGCTCCTCGCGTCTCCCCGTGCTTCGCACAGCCCGCGTGCTTAGCACGTCCTTCTGCGCCGGCCCCACACACTCTCACGCACACCCATGCACACCCACACTCCCGTGCACACACCTACGCACACTCTCACGCACACCCACACTCCCGTGCACACACCCATGCAGTCGCACTCTCCCACACACTCATGCACACTCACATTTCCCCACACTCCCGTGCACACAAGCACTCTCTCACACACACCCCCCGCACACTCATACTCTCATGCACACCCCTGGGCACACACTCCCACACATGCACGCACCCACACACATACTCATATACTCTGCCACTCACCCACACACTCCCACTCACTCCCACACTCCCTAACAGTCCCACACTTTCCTACACTCACACACACTCTTCCACACACACACTCCCGCACACTCACTCTTACACTCCCACACTCCCACACACACTGCCCCTTCACACGTCGACACTTCCGTTTCCTGTTTTTTGACGATACATGCCGCCTTCCGTCTTACAGGTGGTTTTCTTTTGTGGTGTTTTATTGCAGTACATTTCTAAAAGTATGCAAACCAGGTGAAACGGAAAATTAAATCATAAAGCTTTTCAACATTTTTCCAGATTGCTTTTTAGAAACAATCATTACGTTTGAATAAGCGCAAGGAAACTAGTAGAAATTGGACGTGCTGGTTTTTCAAACCCGCCGTTAACATGCGCTAGCGGGTTCTTGTCGGGCGGCTCCGTGTTTGCCCCGCCGCAGGCTCGCTGTTCGGCGAACACGTGAACTCGGGCATCTGGGTCTCCCCCGAAACCCGAGCGCATCAGCAGCATCTTGTCTGTACCGTGCAGGGGCGCTTTCAGCGGCACTGGGATTTACTGGACGGTGGAAGCAGCTTCTTCCCTGGAGAGAGTCGCAAGCTAACTTACCCCGTCGTATTTTGCTTCCTTAACAGATCTGGGTTCACAGTGCCCACAACGCCAGTGGATATTTCACTATTTACGGAGATGAATCCCTCCAGTCAGATCACTTCAACTCGAGGTTAAGTTTTGGAGACACCCAGACAGTCTGGGCGCGCACGGGCTACCTGGGGTTCCTGCGGAGGACGGAGCTCACAGACGCCAACGGAGGTGAGCGTGGCGGGCGGCGGGGAGGCCAGGGGCCCTGGACATCCAGCGCCCATCTGGGGTTCGGGACCCCAGACCAGGAGAGCACGTCTGCGTGCTCGCCGCACACCAGCTGGACACAGCCAGGTGCGAAGGAGCAAGGTCGAACGCGAGTGTGTCCCCAGCTGAGCTGCGCTCACACCGTCCGAGCCAGGACAGTCGCCCGGGGCCGGGCCTCGTGTCCCGCCATCAGGAGCCCGCGGTCGCAGACCCGCCGCCGGAAACGGGCCCGTGCGGCCCGCGGGAAGGGGCGGTGCTGCGGGCGCAGCGAGGGTGGATGCTGCTGCCCCCTCCTCTGCGGGGCTGGCGCCAGGCGGGGGATGCCCAGAGACAGAATGTCGAAGCCTGCTTGCTGTTCAGGTCTTTGCCGAGTCCCGGGTCCTTTCTCAGCTCCGTGGTTCCACTAAAATAGAAGCCGGGCTGCAGCGTTTCAGAGGACGGGAGAGGAGCTTTCTGGTGGGGTCCTGCCCCACACAAAGCCGGGAGACCTCAGGAAGGCTCCCCGACACACCTGCCCGGCGGGAGCTGTGCTCGCAGAGCTGAACCGCCATTGAATTTACGGAAAAGTACAAAAAAATTTGATGTCACATTTGCAATTTGGGACAATCATGGGCTGTTTTATTTGGAGGTGCTCTCCGGGGTTCCCGTGAAGAACTGAGTTAGAGGTATAAGGTCGGTGGTATCCAGCACCCCCCAGGAGGTGGGGCGGTCTCTTCTGCGGGATCCCAGGGCCGGGCGGCCGGGGGTCCCTGCTGCGGTAATCGCTAGAAGCCGGCAAGTAAATTTCTGCATCTTGTCTGACTCGCACTGGAAAAGATTTATTTTCTGGTACTTTGTATGTTGATCACTTCTTTCAAATTTCCTCTGATATATTTGCTACTCTAAAGATTAAGGACACGTCTCCTTATTTTTAAGAAGAGATGGACTGACTGCATTTTGTCAGTATCCCAAGGTTTACACACTGATAGGAGTAAGTTTAGCGGCTGTGTGAGCTGAGGAAAGCTTTGTTCATGCACGTTATCAGAAACTACGCTTTTTTTTCCTGCTCAGACATGGAATAAGACAGTTGAGACCTCATGCGATGGAATCAGAGGGAGCTGGGTTTACTTTTAGCAGTGCTGTGTCCTCACCATGTGACTTGGGGAGAGCTCCATGAGATTTAGGCGCCTCTGCAGCCCCAGGACCCAGGCGGTGCTGAAGGGGCTGAGGGTGGTGGGATAATGTCTTTGATGAGTATGGAAGCTGATTGAGATGCTGTCTCTCCGTGGCCTGGAGGCTTCAGGGAGGTTACAGATGGTGGCCCGCACTCTAGGGCCACAGCGTTTTCCTTGAGCATCTCAGGCACGGAGCATCCCTGTGGGAGGGAAATATCCCTGACTTGTGACCCCTTTCTTTGCATCGCTTTCTCACTCTGAGTGGTTTTAATGCTTTTTTCTTGAAGCAGCTTGAGCAGCATAACGGTGAAACTCACACACTTTTCCCATTCCCTGAGCAGAGCGCCACGACGCCCTGTACGTGGTAGGCGCCCTGGACGAAGCCATGGAGCTGCGGGGGATGCGCTATCACCCCATCGACATTGAAACCTCAGTGATCAGAGCCCACAAAAGCGTTACAGAATGGTGAGTGGTGGCAGGTGTTCCCAGACGAGCAGGACAGGGTTTGGGCAGCCTTAGGAGCCCGTGGAGTCGTGTGGAGGAGTCTCACCCTTAGCCTGTAGCCCTCCCTCCAGGTGTTGATAACTCAGCAGCAAGGGGCATTCCTGGGTGGACTCAATGTCTTGGGCACTTCCTGAGGGTGACGTACTAATGACTGGATAGCAGCTTCTAAAGAGCCAGGCTGTCGCTGTTCATTGGTTTTTAGTTTGCAAAAGCATGATGTAGCTGATCATCAGGGAAATGCAAATCAAAACTACACTAAGATATCACCTTACACCCGTTAGAATGACAAAAATATCTAAAACTAATAGTAACAAATGTTGGAGAGGTTGCGGAGAAAAAGGAACCCTCATACACTGCTGGTGGGAATGCAAACTGGTGCAGCCACTATGGAAAACAGTATGGAGATTCCTCAAAAAACTAAAAATAGAACTACCATACGATCCAGCCATCCCACTACTGGGTATTTATCCAAAGAGCTTGAAGTCAGCAATCCCAAAAGTCCTGTGCACCCCAATGTTTATTGCAGCACTGTTTACAATAGCCAAGACGTGGAAGCAACGTAAGTGTCCATCAACAGATGAATGGATAAAGAAGATGTGGTACATATATACAATGGAATACTACTCAGCTGCAAAACAGAACAAAATCATTCCATTTGCAATAACATGGATGGACCTTGAGAGAATTATGTTAAGTGAAATAAGCCAGCTAGAGAAGGATAATCTGTGTATGACTCCACTCATATGAGGAATTTAAAACTATGGACCAAGAACAGTTTAGTGGATACCAGGGGAAAGGTGGGGTGGGGGGTGGGCACAAAGGGTGAAGTGGTGCACCTACAACATGACTGACAAACATTAATGTACAATTGAAATTTCACAAGATTGTAACCTATCAATAACTCAATAAAAAAAAAAAAAAAAAAAAAAAAAAGCATGGTGTAGGGAAGAAACCGACTGCACACACACAGGCACAGAGAGCACTTGTGACCACAGCCCGGGAGCCATGGAAGTCCATGGGCCGTGTGGGGAGACCTGAGATGATGAGAGGAGGGGGCAGACTTGCCCGAGTTAAACCAAAGCCAGAAGTGACAAGTCTCCCATCCCAGGTGCCCTCCCTGGGGCCAGGGGCCTTGGGGACCTGGGGTCTACCCTCCCGACCATTTGGTTGGCTGTGCTCAGTGTGACCCGCAATAGCCAGCTGACCTGGGGGCTGCAGCACTGACCACTTCCTAGGTCACCCAGTTCTGGTATGTGGCATCAAAGCTCAGGCCAGGAACCCCAAGGGAGGAGCATTCTGAAATCTCTCATGGCAATTTTTCCTGGTGGGGTAGATGGCTCAGATTGTTCATTGCCTGTTTTTTTTTTTTTTTGAGGAAGACCAGCCCTGAGCTAACATCCGTGCCCATCTTCCTCATTTTTATATGTGGGATGCCTGCCACAGCATGGCCTGATAAGCGGTGTGTAGGTGAACCCCAGGCAGTCAAAGCTGAGTGCATGAACTTAACTGCTGTGCCACCAGGCCAGTGCCTTCATTTGCCTCTTGTTAGCTGATGCAGGCTGGTGTGTGTTGCCACGTACTGAACGCTGACCCAGAGGACTTGGCAGGATAGAAGAGATAAGAGGGAGTGGAGAGTGTGCATACCCACATGTGCTCCTGTGGTTCAGACTGCTTACGGCTCTACTCGCCCTGAAACAAAGTCCTCAAGTTGCCACAGTTGCCTCTCTACTCCAGTGTACCAAGGGGACAGAATCCCAGAAAGACAGCAACCTGGAACCCGAGCCCAGTGCCTGCCTTGCTGTCTGTCTGAAGGGCTGCGAACATCAGTTACAGCCTTCTCTTTTTGTATTTCTGAGGAAATGATTTCACTGGCTTGTGTTGCCTCCCTCAAGTATTTTCTATGTAGTTATTGAAGGGCTGTGGCAGGGGCTCCCTGAGCCCCTTGTGGGGTGGCAGGCCATGACTCTAGTTTCTGTCCCAAGCACCGCTGTCATCACCTGCGGGGTGGCCTTGCCTCCTGGGCCTCTCTCCTCACCCTGCTCTGTCCATAGGCAGCACCAGAAAGAAGGAAGAGCAGTGGTCTTGTTCTGATGGCCTCAGTCCATCAGAAACTGCCCAGCACACACTGCTCTGCTGTCCTTTTTACTCTTTCTTGCCTTCCCTCCCTTGAGTCCCCTCTGGTTACTTCATACTGAGAAAGAAGGATGTGACCCCATGTCATGTAATGTGACTGTGTCCACACAAATAATTCATAATCAATCTAAAAATCAAAATTTGGGGTGAGTTTGTTATGAGCCAGGTCTAAGGACTATAGCATGGGGGGTTGGGGAAGAAAGGGCACCGAAGAAGCAGGGTGTACAGAGTGGTCATACACTGTCTTGGAACAAAGAGCGTACATCACAATGACAGGAATGTCCCTTTTGCAATTATCTCAAGATGCTTAGCTGGCACAGCAGGTCACAAGGTGAGCACAGCAGGTCAGTAATTAATCCCTAGTTTCCAGGAAGAGATGCTTATCTTTAAGGAAATTCCACTATGGGGAAAAGACACCCCTATCTTTAGGGGCATGATTCTTGGCTTTGAAACATTGTAAATGTTTAAAGCAGACGTACAATGCATGCTCAACAGGCCACATCTGGCCTTTTTGGAAAAACAAGGTCAGGCCGAATTAGTTTTACACCAAATGGCTTCCTCATATACTCCAAGATGTATTGCCTTTTATTTCTTCAGCAAGAGGTAATTGTGTATGGCACCTGGGAAAGCTCTGATGAGAGGAAAGGGACCTGTGTCCAGTCCATAGCTTCCTGGCAAGCCCGCCCTGATTAAATATGGAAATCCAACCTGATTCCTGATACTGTGTCATCAACATCAAATGCCATCATAAAATTATACCCAAAGTGGCTGAGGTGTATATACATGTATAATCTATGATATCACAGACTCACAGTATGGGCTCATTTGGGTCATGCAGAGCAATATCTTAGTGTCACAAAGAGTCATATTATGGAAATTCAGCACCAGCACATCTTGGGAACAGCCCTCAGCAGGATTGTTCCCCTAGGTATACGTGCTTGTCGCAAAGCAAAATCCAGGAGAGAGCTGTTGAACACATTCTCCAGTATTTCCCTTTCATTTCAACGTATATATTGCCCATACTGAACAAAATGTGCATTTTTTTTCCTAATAGACATACTCTTACACTTTTAGAAAACAATAATGAGTTTTCCCAAATATTTCCTGCCTCACAGCTGAGACAGAACCTTCTGTGTGTCTGGCATGAGAAAGCAGATATCAGCAACCCACTGCAGGGCCCTGGGGCCTAGCGCCTCCTCCACATGGCTCCCCAGCCCTGGGCTCCTCCTAGAGCCTGGATGTGGCTCCGTGTGGCTCTGTCCCCCTAGGACCCTCCTGGCCTCCACAGCCAAGCAGAGCATGGGCACCAGGGGCAATGAATATTAAGGTTGTTACACGACCACTTTTTAAAAGCCCCGCTATATGAGGTTAATGAGGCTTAAAGTGTAAAGCACAGGATTAGGCTTCCACAGGTTGGGCAGACTAAATACTCTGGGTGACCCTCCCATTGAAAGATCCCAGATGAAACACTTCTAAATAAATCTTCCACGTTCTCGAGAAATTACTCCCATACCAGTAGCTCTTGCTGTATTACGGTCACCCCAAACTCAGTATTTTAAACAGTAACTATTTATTTATGCCCCCACATCTGCAGTTGACCGCTGGGTGATCTGACTGCACTGTGACTAGGGCCTGTGGGTCAGCTGGGCCTGGCGCTGGCAGCTGTTCTCCACGTTTCCATCCTCCCAGAATGTCCCACCCTTGCGATGGCAGAGGAAGCCAGGACCAGCCCAGACACACCAGCTGCTCTCAACCTGTGCTGACTTCCCACTGACCAAGCTGCATGCTGGCCCAAGCCCCACGGCAGGACACCAACTTCACCCTTGGGACTTAGTGTGCAGATCCAGGGAGCGGCTCTGGGTGCACACCCAACCCCTCACCCCTTGATACCAGCTAGGGGCAGAGGGCAGGGCTGCTCTGAGGGCGATGCCGCCACAGAGATCCTGGAGCATACGGAGCGGCTGCCGCGAGAGCAGGCAGTAGACAGTCTAATAGGAGGGAGGGAAACTCCAGTGAGAGGAAGGAGGTGGGCTCGGAGAGACCAGCAAGGCGAGGAGACTGGCAGTGCTCAGGTAGATCCAAAAGAACAAAATGCACCTCTTGAAAACAAAATGTGATCATTAAATTAAAACTTTGCCATATACGATAGTCTTTTCTCTCTTCCAGTGCTGTATTCACCTGGACAAATTTGTTGGTGGTTGTGGTGGAGCTTGATGGGTCAGAGCAAGAAGCCCTGGACCTGGTCCCCCTGGTGACCAATGTGGTCCTGGAGGAGCACTACCTGGTGGTGGGAGTGGTGGTGGTGGTGGACATCGGTGTCATCCCCATCAACTCCCGGGGCGAGAAGCAGCGCATGCACCTGCGAGACGGGTTTCTGGCAGACCAGCTGGACCCCATCTACGTTGCCTACAACATGTAGTCTTGTCTCCACTCCGTTGGACTTTGTAGAGATGGAACATTTTTCTCAGCGTCACTGAAGTGTGCAGAAGCGAGGGTGACATTCGCCAGAATGGAGCCTTTTATTGCACGCTGCCGAGGAGGAGGCTTCTCCACAGCACCCGACTGGCGTGGGGACGAAATGTGAACTTACCACTGAAGTTTGCTCAGAAGGATTTTGGATTATTGCCTGCAGTTTGTTGGAAAAGCCCATTTCAAAAACTTTCTTTTCTTTTTTTTTTAATTATTGGATAATAAGTGCTTTCTTCGTAAATGTGGTATTTTGTTAAGCCAAAATAGCAATTAAAAAAATATTCTGCCCTCCAGATGGGTTCTTTTAAACAATTTATGTAGTGTGACGAAGAATTGTTTTCTCTGTTTTAATGTGTCATGAAATCTTAATGACATGGACCTGTTACTAATTTAAGCCATTGCTAGAACTCATCCTTTTAGGAAAGTTTGTTGAGGTACGAGAAAACCTTCCAAATAGCACCTTCCAATTAGATTTTAGCAGCTTTCTTTGTCAGAAATGTGCTGAAGAATCAAAGGCTGATATGTGGCCTTTGAAGTTAGCATAGAATGAGGAGAAATTATAAATAAGGTGTATTTCGGCAATTATCTTGCAGATATCTTTGTACTAAACTAAAAGATAAAATAAGTTAACTACTTCATATGTAATTATGTACAAAACGTTTAATTTATTTTGATCTCTTTAGAAGTATAAAAGAGAAAAACATTCAAGAATATTAAAGTCTTGTAATGTTTGCTAATATAAAAAAGTGTTGTATTATCTTGCGTGGATAGTATCACAACAAATATATATATATGAAATATAAATTCACTAATGAACCAAGGAGATTTTAAAGTTTAAAATGCAGAGCCTGTCACTTGCATGGTGTCCCCTCCACGGAACTGTAGATAGAGAGACTCTCACCCGCTTTGCTGCTGCGAGCAATCGCAGAGTGCCTGTAGCCCAGGCTGAACGTTTCTTCTAGAACCAGAGAGCAGCAAGTGAAATTATTGCCATCTAAAGATGGTGGAGTCTGAGGCTACTGTGCGCTGTTTTTCCTTTGCTGTGGGGGCCACACGAGCAGTTTGTGCCAGCACGTGCTTACGACACCAAGCAGGCGTGAGGGAAGGCAGGTGGCAAGGAGCACTGTTCTCTTAGCTGCAAGAATTCGTTGCACAATGTTTTTCATCCTTTTTGTTAGTGTCACCTTTTTTCGGTCCTTGGTATGAAAAGGAATGATATGTGGTCATTTGCACCAGGGTGTGTTGATTCCCCTCAGATGGCCACTGTGTGGAGTGGACAAAGTGTCCGGAACCGCTTTACGGGAAAGGACTCACATAGGAGATCGTCACCTCAGCCAGCTCTCTGGGGCTCCCTGGCCCGGGGTGCACAGAACCCACTGGGAGCCTGCGTGAGCTGCCCCGGGACTCTGAACAGAGCCATGGCTGCAGCAAGGAAGCCTCATGGCTGCCTTCATTCGCCACCTGGGGCTGACACGTTTCTGATTTTAGTCTCGCTGCTGCCTCACACACCTTCGAATTTCCAGAGCGCATCTGTACACTCCTTGATGGAATCGGCCCATCTGTGCCAACCAAGAAGAGATATCAGCTCTCCAAGCGTGATTTACTTTGTAATTGCCCCAATATGACCCTGCAGTGGCTCTCGTTGCTAGGTATGCATGACTAAGATTGTTGCTGGGCAAAATTTAGATTCACTTTTCATTATATCGTGGGCGATGTCCTTACCTGCCTTTGCTATATGTGCCAGCAGTAAGCCCTTTGCTAAAAGAGAGTTTTGTTTGACTTCTGAGATCCAAGGCTAATTGTTTTTTAAAAATTTTAAGTGGCATATTTTTTTAATTGCATGTGGGGTGCATCCTTCCATCTCCACAAATCATTTGATTTTTAAAATATCGTTTGACTTCATTGCTGTGTATGAATATTTCTCGACATGCTTCAGATACACATTCCTACAGTCTTCTGCTTCCTAAGGGGAAAACCCACCACACACAGGAAAAAGACGTGTTCTTATACACACCCACCTTGTTTAAGGAAAGAAGAATTAAGGTTTCAGATAAAGTACCGATTGGGAAACACAATTGCAGAATAACTTGTCAGGTCCAGCTGAGGTTGGAAGCAAACAAATCAGGTGTCACTTCACACACAACCTTCCCCTTCACCACATCAGCTTCACGTGCCAGGCGTGCGGTTGTGGACGCGGTTAATGACAGCCTGTCGTCTCTGGTGTTAGAGTGGAGGTCCAAAGGTTGGGGGCTGGGATTGAAATTCTGTTGTGCAAGAAAAAGGAAAGGAGACACTTAAGAACCTCCCATGTCAGCAATAAAGAAGGATCATTCTGTATTAGAAATCGTGCTGTAGATAAGTCGTTCCTGAGAATGTAACAGGTGTTTGTCTTGTGACCTTGTGCTTCTGAAGTCAGACAAAACCGTGTCATCAACTTGCACAAAAGAGGGTACACAGTGCACATCGAAACACAGCCCTGACCCGACAGGGCGGCCTCCTCATGGTGCTTGTCTATTATCTATATTTAATCCTGCTTGACACTTTACCCAAGGGAAACGGGCCCTTTTATCAGTTGAATGTTAGCAGCGTTATTTCATAGAGTGTGGTGGCTGGTTAGAGGAATGTGCTCAACCAGTCACTGTTTCAAAGGAAATTTTTATGTGCAAAGGATGGCAACCTTCTCGTATGTAAACCACCAGTAAGCTTTGTACATCTGTGATAACGCCTGTTTTATATTCAAATGAACAAATAAAAGCTTTTATTTTTGTTGCTCTGAAATAGCAGTTTCTTAATTGGTCCCCTGGAAAACTGTCTGGGACAGCTTCAGTCCCAGGAAGGAAGTGACTTCTACAGGGAATGTATCTGACTCTGTTTACATAATTTGTTGCATTACTTAGTACAGAGAATCATACTTTGAACGCTGTTTAAATTTTGATGTGGGCATTTATTGCTAAAATAATTCCTATGGCAACAAATGTTTTGTGAAATGTTTTTTTAAATTCTTTTAAATATATCTAAATATATTTGTTCACATTTTGCTGCAAGTGTACAGATTATTGGAAACTTTTTGGGACAAATGGTAAGCATGAATCCTGTGTGCAGACATTTACTGTCAGCTGTGTGGCAGGGACCCTTGCATGTCAGGAAGCAGGTCCAGCCGACTATTCCAATCCTAATCACCTTTGATTGTTTGACAACCAAAGAGCTCTACCCTTTGCCCAAGATCTGAGAATTCTGATGGCTTTGTGTTTTGGAAAGCAGTAGCAGGTTAAGTGACCTTCGGCCTAATGGTTATAAAAATATAAATTTTATACAGATGAAAATCAGTAGAATGCAAATCTGCACACAGATCGCCAGTGTTAACCTACATGCCTTTGTTTTAGACTCCACTTGTCCCCCCCCACAACTTTTGTCCAAGACAACCCCACGCTAATTGGGGGATGCTGCTTTGAGTGTATGAAAGTGGATGTTGTTGTAAGACCAGCCTGGCTGTGTCAAATCACACAGAAGATTGAAGGAAGGCCCCAGTTTTTCAGATGGTGGCCTAACAGTGATGGGTCAAGTGAAACAAGAGCACCAAGAGAGCTGCCTCTGCACAGCCCTGCTTTGGACAGTGTGTGTGCCTGCGTACCTGTATGTGTGTGTACCTGTGCATGTGTACCTGTGAGTGCATGCGTACTTGTGCATGCCTGAGTACCTGAGTGTGCGTATCTATGTATGCGTGTGCACCTGTGTGTGCACTTGTGTGTGCCTGTGTGTGTGTACCTGTGTATGCCTGTGTACCTGCATATGCCTGTGTACCTATGTGTGCCTGCATACCTGAGTGTATCTGTGTATGCATGTGCACCTGTGTGTGCCTGCATACCTGTGTGCATACCTGTGTATGTGTGTGTACCTGTGTGTGCATACCTGTATATGCATGTGTACCTGCATATGCCTGTCTACCTGTGTGTGCCTGCATACCTGTGTGCGTACCTGTGTATGTGTGTGTACCTGTGTGTGCATACCCATGTATGCATGTGTACCTGCATGTGCCTGTGTACCTGTGCGTGCCTGCATACCTGCTTGTGTGGACCTGTGTGTGCCTATGTACCTGTGTGTGAATACAGACTTTTCTTCTGTGGTGCCATGTTCTGCATCCTCTAGCACAATGCTGAGTTCTTGGGGCAACAGTAGTTTGGTTGGCTGGTCGATTATCATTTCTGTCTTATTTTCCTCCTTAATGTCTCAGCGCAGAGACAGGATGGCCTGAGAAGCGCTGAGGCTCCTTCTGTGGAGAGAAGTTCGTTTCCTTTCACACACACGTCTTCTGTGACTTGCAGCTTGCACTCACTGCTTTTCTGAGTAGAATTCACAACCCCTGATCCCTCCTGACATCCTACACCTTTTATTTTCTACCATATTCCAGAGAGGCGTGCAGGACCCCCTGTGGCCATCCTTCCAGAGTGAGAACTGCAGTGGTGCCATCACTATCTTCCTGTCACAGGCAGTCTGGCTCAAGTCAAGTGGGGACTCTCAGTGCTACTTCTTACTGTTCTTCAGTCTTTAAGGTTAATTCTGAATAAAGTAACTGGGCAAGACCAAGATCAATCTGATATCTTAGGAAGAAATTTGGATCCGCCCCTCTGCTACTGTGGGCTGCTGTTGTATGGTGGTGACATCTCGAGATGGTTGACAATATCAGCTCCCTCTGGCTTGTGTGGAAGTCTTGTGTGGATTTCTCCCACGTCACAGTGATGTTTCAGCTCCTGCCCTCCCCTGACACACACCTCCGTCTTTGTCCTTCTCCATGTCACCGTCACCAAGCTGAACTCAGACTTTCATGGGTAGAGAGAGTTTGTATGAATTCTGTCGTGCTTTGGCCCATTCAGCCCCCGTCAGAACTGGCATTCAAGTGAAAATAAAAAGAAGGGACAAAGCGGGCTTCCATCACTGCCTCAGAGACCAACTCTCAAGACTTCCAGCAAATGCCTTCTGCAGCCTGGCTGGCCAGCCTTACTCCGCTAAGGTTCCAGTCTCGTTTTTTATCAGGGCTTCGCTCTGCCGGGGGGGAAGGAAGGAGAAGACAGGAGGCAAAGAAGTACTTTAGGAATCTGGGTTACACAGCACGTTTGGGCAGAAAAATACATTTTCTTCTACTTCCCACCCTGTGTGAGGAGAGTGTGCAAGACACCACATTCTAGACACTTCTCCATGTGTGAGAGACCCCAGATGGAGCTGCTGTCAGTGCTTCAAGAGGCAAAGACTGACCAGTGAAAGCAAAGCAGTAGAAATCAAAAGTGGGAAGAAAGAACCCAAGCCTAGTGGTGTGTGCACCTTAGTGCCTGGCCTTGCTGGAGCATAGAGGGAGAAGATGGGTGGCGCCAGCTCTTGTCCTCGTGTTGCTTTGCTTCCTGACGTTGTGTTGACATGTGTTAAGTATCTCTTCACCTACCCAGCTTCCCTGTGGGAGAACAGGGTGTGTTTTCTCAGTGCCTACCCTTGTGCCGTGCACAGAGCAGACATTCATTGAACCTGCTATGTGAAAGAATCCTCACTGGTAAGTGGCCTCATGGGCCACAGTGACCACAGGACTGGAAGCCCTCCCGGGAGATGGGCAATAGAACGGGTGGGTAATAGGAGCTCCTGGAAACATGATGAACTTGCTTGTTTTCATAATACAGAAAGTGCTAGTGAATCCTGACAGTCACTCAGGCCTTCTTGCCAGAGGTTATTAATTATAGGAATCCTTCACTGGGGCCCAAATATCCCCGACATTTGACAAACGGCTAAAACACCAGAAAGAGGATAAACGGTAACAAGGGGAAGAGGGAAAGGAATTAGAAATAAATTACGTGGTTAGTGAAGAGACAATTCATTTGCAAGATAATACACATTAGAAAGATCCATGAAATGGTAAAGAAGTATAAATTGAAAGTGGGAAGGAAGAATGAGAATACAGAAGGATACAGAAAGGAGCTAGGACTGAGCGGACATCAAAGTGATTGGAGCCCATGCAGCCCAGCCAAATGAATGTTGGGACAGGACGGAGTGGAGGGGAAATGGTCTCAATTTTTGCTACAACGTGAAGGGAATGTTATGAGCCACAGAGGGTGGATAACAACCTAGACAGATGCATCCTGGCACCTCTAGTCTAGCTAAAGCTCAGGAGGACGTCACCAGAACCCGCACTTCAGCAGACCCCCAGGTAATTGCCCTGGGCTGCGCTCCACTGCCCAGGGGTAGCTGTGCAGCTGGAGCCTGAAGAGGAGCAGTGTGGTGCTGAGCAAAGTGGAGCAGGAGCTGCCCCCACTCCCCTCTTTCCCTTAGGACATTTTTACAAAGGGCTGGATACACCCCTCATCTTGTTGAGTGACACCTGGTGAGTCACTGAGCATGGCTCTGCTTCCACGACCCAGTGTAAAGGACGGCCTTTCCACCACATTCTGCTCCTCAGACCCACTGCACATGGCAGATTAAACCTGCCCTGACCATTATCAGACAAGCTTTCCACTGAGGACTCAGGTTTCCCCTGTGGGGTAGTTGCTGTGAAACATTCCAAGACTGAGAACCCCAAGTACCTGGGTTGTGTAGCCTCTGACTAGTGCAAAACCAGCCATGAATCCTAAATGACAAATGTGCTCCTCATCAAGAGTGGCTTTCCAGCTGCTGAGGGTGCATCTCAGGCTTTCAAGGGCTGAACCAGGTCAGTGTAACCTGGACAATCACTCTGGGGGTTTGTAGATTGAAAACAAGTGGACGTGCCTCCAGCCCCGAGGTTTCTGGAGATGGAAATGGGGGCTGTGAAGATGGGTTTGGCTGGTGTTGATGGGTTTTAGGGGTTTTCTTGGTTAAGATTAAACCATTAGGCGTTAGTGGGCAGTCACTCTTGGAAAGATAACAGGACACACTAATGACGCTGCATCTTGATGACAGCCCCAGCAAGGGTTTAAGCAGATCACTGCCAACCTTCTAAGGCAAGGGCTGCAACATTTCTGCTAGGCTTTGGGGACCAAGTAGCTTCTGTCTCAACCACTCGGTTCTGATGTTGTGACACAGACACAGAGCTCAGACAGAGGGCAGGGCTCTCATCCAATAGGACTTTATGGACACAGAAGTTTGAAGTTTACATAATTACCCATCATGAAATATTGTCCTATTGATGTTTTCAACTATTTAGAAGTATGAATGCTATTTTAAACCTATGGGCCCTACAAAAAATAGCAGCCAGATTTGGCCCTGGGTTCGTAGTTTGCTAACTCCTGTTCTAAAACATACAAATAGTAAGGCAAACTTTTGGGAATTAACTTTAGATTCTGTTTTTTCTTTCAAAAGGAATTAGTTTCTGAGTCTGATGGTTTCCACTTTAAAAGAGTCAATCTTACAACCTCTGTCTCATTCACTCATTCAACCAGCAAATATTTGAGCACCAACCATGGGTAGTTGCTGGGATAAACTGGTGAAGATGCCCCACTGCTCCTCTGGGTTTCGGATCCAGCAGGGACTGTGAGGGTGAGCTGGCCTCGTGGCTCCGCTCCTTCAGTCAAAGACTCAGGTGTAGTCTTGGTTCTGCCACACAGAGGAAATAGTGATCTCTTCTATCCATGGCTCACTTAGCCTGTTTCCCTGCCATCAAGCCACGAGTGCTCTTTATAACTAACCTGCCTCCAGACATGAGAGCACCCTGGGGAGCCGGGACTGCACAGAGATAAAGGGAAGTTTTTGTTTCTCCCAGGAAATTCATATAGAACCACAGATATGCTTTGGGTTGTTTGGGGCATAATTCTGCTTATACTGAA